GTTGTGATTGTGAGTCTCTGCAATTGGTAAATGTGACTTTGACGCAAACCCGGCTCCCAATGGCCTATCACCTTCCACTTAGCAAAGGAGGCTGGATGAGATCTTCCATTTGATTAGTTTAATAAAATAGTTGCCTCTATGAGCCCATGAGCTTGAGTTACAGCGTGAACACGTGTTCAGTCACGTATGTACCTGAAACCAGTCTTTGCTAAGTACATTTTCTCAACTGTATTTGGTCCAACCAAGAGCCGGCGTCTTCACTGTGTGGCGAATGCAGGCGACAGCATATTGGATATGAACATTCAACATGCTTGATACATACTTCAGGCAGCGTATCAAATTTTAACCTAAAAGCAGGACAAACTCTCAGCTTATCACCCAATCTAATCTCATGCATGATACGTGATAGATTCGCAGAGGTATTTAGAATTCACTTCACAACCCTAGAGAGTGCGCAACGAGCCGAACTCTTAAGGGCTAGTACTTGAAGAACGGAAACATTCAGACAATCTCATTGTTTTTCGGGCAATGAATTATCTCAAGTTGACCATAGTTGGGCAACGGATCATTCACAAATGATTTAGCGGTATGACTTGATTTAACATCCATTTCACACATTCTATTCGGTATCTCCTAACAAATCAACTCCACACATACTCCAGCTAGACTCCCAATTCTGTCACGACTAGACCTCATAAAACGACGTATCAAGTCCAACATGCTCGGGACTAACCTCGTTCAAATTCCTCCCAGACCAACCACAATCCCAGAACGTGACCAGTGCCCAAAGCTTAATAAAGCTGTGCACGTACCCAAACAGAACTTGACAAATAACAAGCGGAAAATCAGAAGGATACTGCAGAAAGTGCGGGATGATCTTGATAACCTTTGTCCAAAACATGAAGACCAGGAAGATCACTAGTCCACCGGCGTTGGAATTTTCAGCAAGGACAAACGTGGCGATGAGCGCTGCATCCCAGATTATAGCAAAGTTGACAAGACCAGCCCAGTACACCATGAAGCAACTCCACGTATACCGGGAGATAAAAGCTGGATTACAAAGCATGACTGGGTTGCTTCGAAAGGTCGTACGTGCCCAGCGAAGTAGCTGATCCTTAAACTTTGGCCACTCACCAAGCGTCGTCTCAACAGTCGCATCCTCTGTATCCTGAAACTTGACAAGCCACTTTTTCTTCATACCTTCTCTCGTCAAAAAGTTGTCATCATCAGGACCCAAGCCCTGACCACCAAAAAGCCCAAAGCAGAACTTTTCACTGCAGAATCTCTGGAGAAGGTCAGTGTCGTTGAGGAACTCTGTACGGTAGACTGCTGTGCGGCCTGAGATGACGAATACTCCACCGTCGATGGCGTTGGATGCCCGGAGTTCCCAGTTGTGACGCTGGAGGTAATTGCACGCGATGAAGTTTACGATGGAAGGCCATGTCCAGACTCCAGGTGATGTGCGACGAACTCTTTTCTTGGTGGCTACCATACCGACACTCTGATCTTCAAAAGGCGCAAGAACAGAAGGGATAAAGCTTCTTGGCCAGAAAACATGGTCATCTGCGAAGATGGTAATAGCTGTAGTAACATTTGGCATAGCATGAGTGATCTGTCGTCTCTTACTCGGCTCAGGAAGCGCCGAGACAAAAATCTGAATATGCGGGGCATCAATGCTTAGCTTTCTGAGAACAGTCTGACATTCCTCTCGAAGAACAGCACCAACCGTGACGACGAGAACGCACGCAGGGTTATTCGCAAGAATACTCTCCACACACTCTCTGAAACCAGGGCCATGAGGATCAATAGTTGGAAGAATAACAGTTACATCATTCCTTGAAAACGAAGGATCCTGCTTTACCTCTGCAGGACGATACATCCACGATCCAAGAATATGTCCAAACAAACGGAGATACCGCAATGTGAAGAGCGTGCAGAATACCTGTGTCCAGACATCATTGACAAGAAGCCAAATGCAAGTTACACAGGCTGCCAGTGGAACTATGAGCAAAAGAGACGGAAGGATTCGAGAGGGAATGTGGTCCTTTGACGGGAGAGCAGTTGGCCAAGGAAAGATCGTCATGCTGATGGTGATTTTCTTACCAGGTGGACTGTTTTTGACGTAGAAGTTGGTAAAGTTGGCAGAAATCAACTGGTTTCCAAGGAATTTGGGGTTTTATAAGGGCATGACGAGAGTTGTGACATTGTTCTGTAATTTGGGCTGTGATTCATTGTTGTGGTTCGTGGTGGTGAACATGAGCTTTGTTTGTGAGGGTGAAGCGAGTCAGTGGCCTTTGTGAATGGATGATAAGGCAGATGATGAACAAAGGAGAGGAAGGAGCTCGTCTGATTGGATTTGAGACAAAGCATTCAGTGCTATTTGGCAACATTCGGGTAGGTGTTCACTATAGACGTGGTGGAGCAGCCTATACAGCAAAGAGTCTCGGCAGTGTCAGTGTGCGTCTGCCACAGTAGATGAAGATAGTCTATCTTTCACATAGGTATGTTGTTTACGAACGAGACCTATGGTTATGAGACTTGACTGTCAGAGTGATAGTGCGCATTCACTAGGAAATTGAGCAAATACGGTACCGTCTTGGTAAACTCGTGGAATCTCAAAGCAACTTCAACAAAGGTTAGACACAACTAAGCCTCTCCATTCACCTATTCTAAAACTCGATATCTAAAAGATGCCCAAGAGGCTACGCTTTCCCTTCTTCTTCTCAGGGGGATACACCACAATCCTATCCAAATCCGCGCCCTTAACATCCTTCCCGTTATTCAGACCCCCAACAGTAATAGTGTTCTTGCCCTTCTTCAGCGGCAGCAACAAAGGAGCTGAGAGAATAATTCCCTTGTGCGTATCCTTCTGCCACAGCGTGTGCACCTTTTCTTTATCGCCGTTGACGACAACACTGCTGATTCGTCGGATTGCCCATGTGCCGTTAATGCGATCTGGTTGACCCATTGGCTGATCTCCAAAGCCCATGTCATCAATATCTATATGATCATTAGTATGTGAATAGGAGGTAGTGGAGGAAGGGGGATTACTTTGGTGGTAGAAAGATACCCATTGGTCAGCGCCTTGTCCTTCGACTGTGAATGTTGCGGTGCTGTCGTTGCCGTAGATGCCAGTTGCAATGACATGGTCCGTTCCAAAGGTCTAATCAATCACCGTCATTAGCAATCATTTATACCTCTGCTCACATTGACTTACAGCCTCTTGGAGGTGAGCGCCCCCAGCAAACTTGGCGTTCTTGGAGGGGTAAGTCTTGCCCTTGATAGGCTTCCATTCACCAGTTTTGCTACAAGCAGTCAGCATCGTCTTGACAGCCAATCGCAGTGCAAAGAGACTTACACATTTAAATCGTAAACATCGTGCCAAACGACCTTGAGACTCTTGTTTTCCTCGTCAATCTCAATAGGGAGCCAGACGTTGCGACTCTCCCAGATCGATGGTAGATCCCACTTCAAAATGTCAGCCGTGACTTGTAGCAGGATAGGGCATCATACCTGGTCAGCCATGTAAAGATAAGTCGTCTTCTTGGTGCCCTTGATCCTCCACGAGAACCCACTTTGCGTGCTAAACGTCCTCGTATAAGCCGGCGCAACAAAAAAGGGCTGCGACCAGGGACCCTCAAGTTTATTAGCCCTCATAGCCACAACATCTACACCAATTAGCCTTCCCTCCTTCACTCTTACCCAGCTCACTTACTATTAGGTCGATAACCAGTCTTGTGGCTCATAAAAGTCCAGTAGCTCTTCTCCGTCTGGATAATAGTCGGCGCTTCGAAATCGTATTTATTAAACCGAAACGTGACCTTTTCCACATCCGTAAGGTTCTTATTAAATTCACTGACGTATACATCTCGACCTTGGACTTTATCGCCGTTGGAGTAGAGAGCGTACGACTTTCCGGTCTTGTAGTCGGTGAAAGCGCCAAAGTCTTGGGACCAGTTTCCGAGGGGGGACACGGCGTGTTGGAATTTGTAGGGGCCGGCGATGTTGTCGGATGTTGCGAGGCCTTGGAGCAGAAGGCTGTAGTTGCGGTCGTCGGCGTGCCACCACATCTAAGACAGGGTCAGCTTGAGGGTTGGATGAGAAGGGGAGGACATACGTGGTATTTTCCTGTTTCTTCGCTGTAGAGAACCTTGGGTCGTTGGATGATACTCTCGGGCGAAACAAACTCATGGCCCTCCTCAGGCTCTGTAACATGTCAGCAACAATCTTTGGTGTCAATTGGGAGACAAACTTAGTGCCAAACCGTGAGACTCCCACGTAGCGAGGTCATCAGAGCTGTAGACCGAAATACCGCCGCCTTCTTCCTGCTCTTCGGTCTTGTGTTCACCAAACCAGTAAAACTTTCCACTCTCTCTATCAACGCAAAGACCACCAGCATGAGCGTTGAACAGATTTCCGTCCGTGTCGTACCATCGCGCACCGGGGACAATCCACTTTGCACTCGCCAGCGCAGCGAATGCGAGAACCGAGAAGAGCGTCATACTAGCAATCAATTAACCAATTGCGAAGCTCTGTGATCTGTACAACCAAACGGAATTGCTCGCATTTTATAGCTATCTCGGTACATCTCCGCCCGACGGCGCAGAAGTCCCCCAACGGCGTCATACCTCGTCTTAGCATCACGGCCGTTTTATGCTTGTTTGTTTTGCGGGGGAGCCCCCCAATTTGCACGTCGATCCCCCGCTGGGTTTGGTAGACGCTTCAATCATAGGGACTCTTGGCTCCCCGGGATAATTGGCGACCACCAATCGGCCCGCTAGCGAGAAAAGCCTAAATTACGAGATGATTTGAATCGGGTGAGCTTTGTCCGTTGCATGATCAATTGAGATTGAGTTTTTGGCTGGGTGATCGGTGAAGATGCTGTTCGTGAGCTTAGTGCTGCAATCGCTGATGTGCAGGCTTCGAGTTATCATTTTCCCTTTGGATGGTATCTGTTGCTGACGTGCATCATGGAAATCTTACGGTCTGCATGTGCCATCATGGCTAATGCACCGGGACGTCCGAGCAAGGCTTGCGATGTCTGTAAAAAGCAAAAGGTCAGAATAATTAAATTAAAATGGTCCGGGTCTTATTAACCTTGCGTTCCAGATACGCTGCTCCGGAGAGCGACCCAGCTGTAAGCGATGTTCAAGATTAAAGAACACCTGCCAATATGACACCATTCGAACTCACGGTAGAGCGACTAAGGGAACGAGGAAATCTGCAGGTGCACATGGAACTTCACGTTCGGTTCACTCGAGTCATCTGGTCCCAGTTGTTCAACCAGCTTTTCTCAGCATCGAACCTGCATCAAACCACGATTTGTTCAAAGGCATCGCCCCATCATTGGTCAATACCCTGGTTGAACTATACTTCGACAATGTCTATCAATCAACTCTTCTCCTGCACAGAAGCACATTCATGCAATCACTTGCCAATCAGACCATTAAGCCTCATATTCTTCTTAGTATTTGTGCCTGGGGTGCCAAGTAAGCCTCCATTCTCATCTCCCTGCTGAACCTATCTGACGACCAAGTTTCTACCGTGATAACTCTGGGAAGGCTACCCTCAAAGAACAAGGTCTAATGACAAAGTGGGCTAAAGAAGCCGGAGCACTGGTCTTTCAAGATGCTGAAGAGCTCAACGATGATAATCTCGTGACGTTCTGCAATCTTTCGCTGTTCTGGCATAGTCAAGGTTCATGGAGGATAAGTTATCTTCACAAAGGTATGCCCACTCAGCTTTGACCTGTTTTTTGCTGACTTTACAAGGCAACGCCTGTCAACTCCTCCACATAAACGGAACAGGTCCAAAGAACGGCTCGTCACTCCAAGCTGAAATGCGACGAAGACGTTTCTGGGCATGCTATTTGTTTCACTGCTTCAGTTGCGAGAAGTTATTCCGCTTTGAAGCAATTGCTGATATTGAGAATCTGCTACTGCCTTGGTCTGAAGAAGACTTTGCGGTCGGGACTTCGAGCTCAGCGATCGCAACGATCGCGAATGGGATTGGCTCGGGAAGTATCTTTGCAGAGCTCATACGCGGTCTCAATCTCTGGTAGGTCGAATCTCGTCTGTCAACAATTTTGCTGACTTCAAAGGTCGTCTGTCGTGTCTGTCGTCAGATCCGAGGGCGATCTCAATTTGCGCCTTCGAGAAATCTTTAGGGTTGAGAACAACATCTCCTCATGGTGGAACAATGTTCCTGTGGCGTTCAAGCTTGGTGCATCTACTGTCTCAAGCATACCACGGAATAGCTTACCCAAAATTATGCTCACCAACCTCGCCTATCACCAATCCCTCTGTGCACTGCACTCATCCATCGTTCCGCTCTTCTGCTGGTCGAAAGGTGACAAGGCTTACTCATCAGCCAGACAATTATCCGCCCAAGTCGCGTTTGATCACGCTGTTGCAATTTCCAGTCTCATCTCTACGATATTAAGTACAGGTTATCCGCTCAGTTCGATGCCGATATTTGTCGCATACTCAGCTTACTCAAGTTGTGCTATCCAAATCCCTTTTCTTTGGTGCCCTGGGCGATCAGTTAGAGAGCGAGCTCAACTCAACATCGACGCCAATGTTGAAATGATGCAGGGCATGTCAACTTGCTGGAAGTTAGCTTCACTATTGGTGAGTTTCTTCATTATATAGATATGATGTCGCTGAGACTAACGCGGGGCCAGCAACTTTATGTGCGGTGCCTTCATAATGTTCATAAACGCAACCCGCCTGTAATTTCTGGCGAACCCAAGTATATGGATGTTTCGGCACTTGTTGACTTTGACGTCGATGCGTCGCTTGCAAAATCAACGATTTTACAATTTGCTGGCATGTTGCGATCTGATGAGAACGGATATGTCAAAGCCGGAGGTGAAACCTCAGACCCAACCATCACCATTGCTGCTAGTAGTGACGAGGCTTTTGACCGCGCAGCGAATACGACTTATCCGAACACGATAATTCCGCAAACTCCGAAACAACTTGACGCAGGGTCCAGTGAGTGGCCGATATCTGACATATTCAACTCTCTCATCGATGCTGATATGGCCGGTCTTTTTTCTGTCGACAACAATCTCGATCTGTCGTTCTTGGATGCAGATCAGACCTCATGGGACTTCGGCCTCAACCTAGAAATACCCTAGAGCTTCGACTTATCATATGACAAATCATCTTAGCGTAGACGATATCGTACTAGCGGTGACATTCTCCGAGTCGGTAAAATATATGATTGGTTAAATAAGTCTCGAACTCGATAGTGGGACCGGTAAATGCCTCGGCACGGAAAACACGAACTCCATAATGACGATTGAAATGGAGGCTTGGAGTAGTATAAGATCAATTGACTCGCAATCTCATAGTCTCTATCAATCAACCACATTTAACTCATCAAAATGCCTATCACAGTCCATCACCTCCAAGTCTCCCAGTCAGAGCGCATCCCCTGGCTCTGCGAAGAACTCGGCATCGAATATGATCTCAAGCAATACAAACGCTCTCCCCTCCTCGCACCCGCCGACTTCAAAGCCCTTCACCCCATGGGCGCCGCCCCCGTCATCACAGACGGCCAAACAACCCTCGCCGAAAGCTGCGCATGCATCGAATACATCAGCCATAAATACGCCAACGGCGCTCTCTTCCTTACCCCAGACCACCCAGCCTACGCTGATTTCTTGTACTGGTGGCACTACGTCGACGGAACGCTCCAAACAGCACTAGGTCGCATTATGTTGATCCGTTCTGCCAAGTTGAGCGACGATAACCCTGTTGTGCAGTTTGGAAAAGCCAAGTACAGACAGGCGCTGAAGTTGTTGGATGAGCGTGTTAAGGGTAATGAGTGGCTTGCGGGCGAGGAGTTTACGGCTGCTGATATCATGGTTATGTTCCCGCTCACGACGATGAGATACTTTTCGCCGTATAGCCTGGACGAGTATCCTAATGTTTTGAAGTATCTTGAGAGGATTGCGCGGAGGGAGGGGTTTAAGAAGACGATGGAAAAGATTGATAACAGTATGGAGCTGTCGATGGGTGCGAGCCCACCTCAAAGCCCTTTTAAGCTGTGATTTGGGGGTCTAAAGATAATATTATAGGGTATAGAACACGCGGAATACGGAATAGTGTAGTATAAAGGTCTAGACTTTTCTTCTCAATCAAATATCAGCCCTACTCTCAACCTGGTAGCTGACATGCATTGCAAGTGATAGCTCAGTCGCTCATTGGCGGACTTGCCGCTGATACCCCGGGTTTTATCGCTGACAGGATTCACCTCGTCAGCACGGTCAGCCAAACCACCTGAAGGAGTCAATCTAGGCTGCAAATGAGACACCTTTTCCTGCAATAGGAAGAGACTAAGATTGATGGAGAAGTAGCTAGTACCTGGAAACGACAGTGCTGACGTTGACCCTCAACTATAAATACTGGCTTCCATCCACTTAGTTCCGCGTTACTGAGGCGTCTTAAAGAAATCGTTGTATCGCATCATGTCTACAAAATCGGAAAAACCCGTCATCGCCATCGTCCAAGGTGCTTGGCATCGCGCAAGCCACTACAAAGGCCTTGTGCAGTCCTTGAATGACAAAGGCTTCACAGTTCTTCAACCCGACAATGTCACGGCCGGGAACGATGAAAACATAAAAGGAAAAACCCATCAAGACGATGTTGAGGCCATTCGAAAATCTCTTCAGCCCGCCCTCGACGAAGGCAAGCGGATCGTGTTGGTCTGCCATAGCTACGGAGGTATTCCGGGCTCTGCCGCCGTTGAAGGCTACCAGGTTCATGAAAGACAGGCCAAGGGTTTGTCTGGTGGTATTTCCTACGTCGTCTATATCGCAGCGTTTGCTCTACCGGTGAAGGGTCTTTCTCTGTTGTCTGCCGCTGGAGGCCAACATGGTCCTTTTCTCGATAGGACGGTAAGCTACGCAAAGCCTGACATCGGGTCCAGAATACTACTAACATGTTCCCAGGACGATATTTGCTATCTAAATGACAAAGCCCAAAATGCCTTCTACAACGATTGTACTCCCGAAGTAGCCAAGAAGGCAATCGGCGAATGTGTCAACCACAGCACCGCGTCTCTCGAAACACCAGCCGAATTTGTCGCGACGGATATCACAGTGCCCAAGACGTATGTTGTCTGTGAGATTGATAACACGGTTCCTGTGCAGGGACAGTTGGCTATGGTTGGTGCTATGGGAGCTGCGGTCAACGTGGAGAAGATAGCGGCTGGGCATTGTCCGTTTCTGAGTGAGAAGACTCTATCTAAGGTTGTGGAGATTATCGAGAGGGCTGCACAGTGAACCTGGCTTGAAACAGACCAGGAAGGATGAGAGGGTCAAAGGCAGAACTTAGGAAACGAAATACAAAGACACATGGGTTAACTTTTGTTATTCGTATCTAGCCTACAGAGTAACAGAGGGGTTCAATGATCCAGGCGGATCCATATCACCATGCAATAATAACAGAAACAAGGCCACAGCCCATCTAACAGACTCAAAAAAGGCACCCGTCGCATCCACTTCACCTGCCAACCTTAACAGCCCACTTAGTTCTCAACCGCCAAAGCCTTCTGTAAAGCCTCAGGGTTTCTAGGCTTGAAAATAGCCTTGTATCGACGAGGCAGAGCGACAAGACTTGTTGGATCCAAGCTACCAGTAATAGGATGGCAATCGACCTCGTCCGACTTCTCAATCTTGAGACTGTTTAGAAGTCTCATGTAGACAAGGTACAGTTCTCGGTTGGCGAGGAGAGAGCCAGCGCACATGCGGTAACCGACGCCGTATGTGAAGAGAGGAGCATCGGGCTGTTCGAACCATCGCTCTGGGCGGAAGACCTCGGGATCAGACCAGACTTGACCGTCTGCCAAACGTTAGTACACAAAAGAAACAGCGGGAGTGGAGACATACCCATATTGCAAGCCCAAGCGTTCAAGAAAACAACAGTGCCCTTGGGAATAGTAACGCCCTCATAGACAATATCCCTAATCGAAGCTCTCGGCAGCGCCAGTCTCAGAACAGTGTAATATCTCAACGACTCCTTTACTAGCGCAACGATATACTCGCACTTCTGATCATCCTGCTCATCGCACATGGGCTGCTTCTCGCTGTAAAACTTCCTGATCTCCGAGACAGCCTTTTCCTGAATCTCAGGATGTTGGCTCAAATATGCGACAAACCAGGCAACCTGGGTAGTAACAGTGTCAAGACCGCCAGACAACATGGTGAGACTGATGGAAGTAAGTTCGTCCTTGTTCAGCTTGGCCTCCTTGTCCATTATCACGTTGGCCTGAATACAAGGCTTATAAGTCCCGTTCGCGATACGTTCGTCAAGACCGTTATTAAGATCGGTGAGGTACTTATCCCGACGGTTTCGCATCTCCTTTGCCTTGGCAGAGTGCATGTTAAACGGGTTCAAACGGAGGAGAGGAATGTAATCTTGGAGATTGCCAGTGGTAGAGCGGAAACGGCTGATTTCTTCCTCGACGTGGGTGATTTCAGAGAAAAGATCGTCTTTTTGACTCTTGAGTCGAATGCCCCAGTTGAGTGTGAGTGCGAGAGATAGAGAAAGGCGTTGGATCATGGGCATAGGGTCAACGGGGATATTGCCGCCTTTGCCATATTCGAAAAGCTCCCTGACAAAGTCGCGCGTTTCGACATCGAGATGGTCGACGTATGTAGCGACTGATGGACGGTTGAGAGCTGAGGCAGCGCCTTTGCGACGACGCTTGAGGGAATCGCTGTAGGGAGAAGTGCCGATTGTAGTACCAGCAGTATCAGAGAGGACCTAATCCGTCAACATCTCCTCTGTAAATCACCAATACTGCGAATATGCTTACCTTGTGGAATGTGTAAAATTCGGGTCTCGAGCTCAAAGCCTGTGCATTCGCGCCAAAAATAGTCCTCGCAGCGGCCGCAGAATTGACAACAACGATAGGAATGTTCCCCAATTGAATCTGATAAACGGGTCCGTACTTTTTCGCCCAAGCGCGGTATTTCTCAGCGGCGTTGATGTGAATGTCCCAGATATTGCCGATCAGCGGTAAACCCGAAGGGCCCTTCAAGTTGCTGATCCTCGCATTGTGACGAATGAGTTCGTTGATGAAGATGTAGATCAGCGGGCCAATCAGGAGCGTCACGAGGAGGGACTGGCCCTTGTTCTCGTGGACTTGGTTGTTCAGCGAAACAAGCAGATTAGCGATCGTCATGATGAAGCTTCGAATGTATCTGATTGCTAGAGAGTGAGATTTTTGGAATACGGATTACATTCAGCTCTATATACCAACCCAAAGTCAATGGCTACCCTCCATAACACGGAAATACGCCAAGTGTAACCCCACAGTCCAGAAGCTGTCTAGCTCACCCAACCCCGCAAACGATTTAGTCTTCCGACTCGGAAACCTCGGAAGAATTTCCGAGAAACCCTCTTTAACCAGGAATTTCCAATCCAAGACCCCTCAGTCGACTTCTTGACCTTTCGGAAATTGTTTACTGTTCGCCATGTCTGAAGAGCACCCGGTACTAAAGCCGAAAAAGCGGAACTCGGCCGATGCTGAGAGCGTTGGTGATACACCTGCTCCACGGAGTAAGAGGGGCAAATACACGTCTGTTGCTTGGTGAGTGAGAGATCCATTGTGATGGAGTTGAGTGGGTGTTGACTTGGATGGGGCAGTGATGATTGTAAGAAAAAGAAACTCAAGTGTATTCCCTCGGAGGATAACGCGTGTGAGAGATGTATCGCCGGTGGATTGACGTGTACGTTCGCGACGAGTACACAAGCTACCAAGGAGAAACCTGATGAGTAAGTATTCCACTGTATTCAAAGAATCCACTGACAAGTTATAGCAATCAAAATATTCAAGCTTTGAATCATCAATTATCAGAGCTTCGTCAGCAAATGTCAGATCTCGTCGGCGTCGTCCGCGAGCTCAAAGACCAGAACCAGAATCAACACCAAACCCTTCCTCACGATGCATCAACCGTGTCATCCCACAACATTGTCACCCACTCCCCCGCCAGCACGCACCGCGGCGAAATGCCCAAACAGCCTCAATTCGTCGGTCCAACGCGCTCCGCCTTCGGTATCCTTGTCAGCGAACGCTCCCTCAATCGCATGGGCGTCCCAAAATTCGACTCCATGCCACCCAGCGGGGCCCAATCTCCCATAGAACCAGTTCTGGACAGCATTAATGATCTAAGTTTTTGGCACTGTTGCACGGCGAGTGATATCACAAAGTATCTCGTCAATTTCCAGGAGGAAGTCGAGTCGGTGTATCCGTTTATAGACATAGCGGAGTATATCGCGCAGTCGAAGGAGATATTGCAGGCGATTCGTGGTGGGGGGTTTGAGGATGAGGGGAGGGTGAGTAGTAAGGACATTGACATTGCCAAGGTGGCGATATCAACGGGCATTTTGCTAGAGGAGCCGAGTAAGCTTGAATTGGCGACGGCGATTGTGGACTCGGTGCAGACGAATGTATCGAGTATTCTGAGTCCCCAGGTTGATTTGAAGGAAGTTCAGCTTTTGGCGATGCTGGTATGTCTCCTCCACTATCGCGAAAATATTCGGATTACTGATAGGAGTAGAGTATATACTACTTCCACGCAGGCGAGGAGCTATTAGCCTGGCGCTCTATCGGCATAGCAGCACGGCAGGCTCTAGAAATGGGTCTTCATCGAAAGAGGAGTCTTTTGGATAACTTTAAAGACACGGATTCTCGCCGTTTAGCGACACGTGTGTTTTGGTGCGTGTACGTGCTTGATCGACGATGGAGTTTTGGAACGAGTTTATCGTTTGCGCTGGTTGATAAGGACGTTGATCCAGAATTACCTAAGCCTGTAAGTTTGTTTGTGAGAGACATTGATCTAAGCTGATTAGAGTAGGATGAGGAGTATTTGTATCTTCAGTGTATGGTTGGATATGGCCAACTATGCTCTAAAATCTGGGAAGCCATTCCGCCTTTTGGATCAGCGTCTCAGACCATTCCAGATGATACAGCTGCTATTCTCGATCTGAAGACTCAAGATTGGCTGGACTCTATTCCACCGCATCTGCGGCTTCGTCATCCTCGTCTTGGTCTTGCACCACGAGCCCAACCTCGACTGCCACATCGTCTGCGGGCGCTATTGTACCTCCGTGGCAATTACGCTCGTATTCTCATTTATCGGCATCATCTCATGAGCACGGCTAGCATAGCTGCGAATCCGCAAAATGCATGGTTGGTAGTCGACATAGCGCAGGATACTATCCAAGTTCTGGTTCATCTGCATGCTACGACGGATATCTACAAACGACAGCAGAATGTCTTTAACTACTTCCTGCTCAGTGCTTTAGCAGTTATTTTCCTAGCTGTGTGTCACGCCCCAGAGATCTTCTCCGTGCCGTGTAAACGCACATTCTCGGATGGCGTTGAGCTAGTCAGAGGATTATCACGGCATAACATTGTGAGTAAAAGACTTTGGAAGAGTATTCGAGGTATGATTCCCCGAATGAACACTTTCGGCTTTCCTCAAAACGGTGAAGATGGCGAGCCTCGAAAAGATGATGAAACTGGGGGTACAACCGAGCAGACCGTTCCGCAAGTCGAAGTCAACGCTGAAGAGCAAGTCCCCATGGCAATACCCGAAAACGAGGCATTTTCCTTCGGCGACATGATGTTTGGCGACGCAGACGTCGCAAATTCAGTTCCCGATATGTTCCAAATGAGCGAATCCCTCCTCAATCTCTTCAACGCATTCGGCGAGGGACAACAATTCTTACAACCCGTTCCAAGCACATTCAGCGAAGAGGGAGAGTACGCCATGGCAGCGGAGCAAGGGAAGGATATATCCATGAGATTCCAAGGTTTAATATAAAAATCCTATTTTTAATCTATACAATCTCATTCTCAAAGTAAATCATCGCCACGCCCTCATTAACACTCTTTGCAAAAGTCCTCAGCTCAAGATGCGCAGCGCATTGTGTATCGTAGTAGTTAAAGTCCTCCTGCGACGCGAATGTTGAGATAGCCACAATTGTGAAGCCTTGAGACCGTTGGTCTGCTTTTGCTTTTCCAGCTTGGACTGAGACGATGTATGGCTTTCCGTCCTTTGAAATGTTAGAGGGGAAAATATTGGGGGGTTTGGGAGGGGGGTTACTTTTGTGGCTTTTTGAGGCATTTGCTTGTAGAGATCGATGAGGTGCTGTTGATCCTCTGCCTTGGGGATCTTGAAGAGGGTGACGCGGGTGATTTTGCCGGACATGGTGAAAAGTTGGTGTGGGGAGTTGGTGGAGTGGAGAGGGAAGTACGGATATAGAGATTCAGAAGTGTATTTGGAGGTTTGGAGGTTTATATGAAGCAAATGCCTCGGAATTTGAGCTGAGATTTCCGGAGGCATTATTGGCTCCACTGTTGTGCAGAAATACGACGAACAAAAGTATGTCGGCACTTGGTCCGGATAGTGTCTTGTGGATATAGTTTTTAAGAAAATTGTATAGGCCTGTGGTGAGAAATTTCAGGCATCTCAAATTCTGACATGTTCTGCTCCACGATACGAACGTGTGATTTTGGTGCTTGACGAATTCGCTATGATGATAGAAAGCTTCGTGATCCATGCCGCCTATAAGCTCTCAGCTCAATCCTCAACTGCAAATGGCACATTTGTTCATCAACGATAGTCTGCTGACAAGTCAACTCAAAGAGAAGGATCTCAGAAGTTCCCATACATCACATTGTAGCCAATAAAATGATGCTTAATCAACGATTGCAAAATCTATAGTCTAAACAACCTAAGCCAATTCCCATCTCTAGTCCCTCGGAACAGCAGCAATGATAGTACCCTCGCACTCCCCAAACCCAACAAGCCCATCCTCAGCAGTACCAGACCAACCCGTAATAGTAATACTATCACCGTCCTGGATAAACTTTCGCTCCTCTCCTCCCTCCAACTTGACAAACTGCTTGCCGCCCATGGTCTGCTCAAGAAGACTTCCCTGCGTTCCAGGCTCAAGACCAGAAATCGTTCCTGAACCGAGTAGATCTCCCGTGCGTAGGTTGCACCCTGACACGGAGTGGTGGGCGATCATCTGGGGCCAGGACCAGAGAAGGTTCTGGGATGAGACTTGGGTGATTTTCGTCTTGTTTCCTTTTGCAGCTGCGTCTTGTCAGTATTACTATGTCAACTGAGCCTGGGTAGTTTGACTTACTGGTGATAGAAACCTCAAGGTTGATATCGAGAATGGGGTCCCCCCTCTTCTCGTCAAGATACTTCTTCGGCGGAACTTCATTCTCCAATCCCTTCCCTCTAAAGCCCTCCAGCGCATCCGCCAAAACAACCCACGGACTAATCGTTGTTCCAAAGTTCTTCGCATTAAATGGCCCAAGGGGAACATACTCCCACTGCTGAATATCCCTTGCGCTCCAATCATTCATAAGAACATATCCGAAAATATGCTCTTCCGCATTATTCACATCAACAGGAGCGCCGAGCTTATTCCCCTTGCTAATGAACATACCGAGCTCCAGCTCAATATCAAGTCTTGCGCAGGGTTGGAACACAGGCTCTTTGGCTTGGGGGTTAGGGAGGACTTGACCCCAGGGGCGATGGAGGGGTGTTCCTGATACCACGACGGAACTTGCACGGCCGTGGTATGCGATGGGGAGATGGTTGTAATTAGGCTGCAGAGCGTTCGCAGCGCCGCGGAAGAGTGTTCCCACGGTGTGAGCGTGGTTACGCCCAGCGAAGAAATCAGTATAGTCGCCGATACTAAGCGGCAAGTGAGACTGAACATCTCCAATTGGAATCAGAGCTTGTTTGCGCAGGGATTCATTGTCCTTGAGGATTTCGGGGTATTGAGTTTCTTGGCGGAAGATATCTTGGAGATAAGCCCGCGTAGCTCTATGCACGGGCCTTCCAAGAGCAGCAAAGTCGTTGAGGGTGGTTTGAGAAAAGACCTTGAGTTGATCGGCGGGGAAATCAGCTAGTTTGGAGAAACCGTTGTTTTGGGCAAAGGCTGATAGATCAAGGACATGTTGGCCAATTGCAATTGCAGGACGGTGCGTTGGTTCAGCGGATGTTGAGATGATGCCAAAGGGAATGTTTGCCAGTGAGAAGTGGCTCTTTGAGGGGATAGGTAGCCAAGAAGCCATTTTGGATGATTTCGAGTAAGACTTTGAGAAAGATACAACGATTTGACAACGAAATATCCTCAGTGGCAGTGCCGGTCTTTTAAGTCCTCTGCAAATAAAAGCCCCTCTATTTGAGATCATTATATCGCGCTGTAGAGTAGTATTAATGTCGTGATGCTGAATAAGTGACCATCTTGATCGCGAGGTCGCTTCGGAAATTTCCATCATTTCCGAGAAGGGTCGGATGGGTCGGGAAGTATCAACCACTCGGAAACTCGGGCTTGGACCGAAGAAGATCGTTAAATAAAGCAGAAAGAACTGATTGATAAAGATTTCTTATCTGTTCTTTTGAGCATGACATATGTGTTTTGATTACTGTAAAAATGCCTGTTACCAAGTTTTCTACGCCTGAGAAGTATGAGTACCTCAATGGCTTTGATTCATTCCACGAGTAAGTCCCGCTCTGCCTTGACGTGAAAAGTGGCTAATGGGAGTAGATCCGAGTCTATTAAGGGAGCGCTGCCCATAGGCGCAAACTCGCCCCAAAAGCCTCCCTATGGCTTGTATGCAGAGAAGCTCTCTGGTACAGCATTTACAGCTCCCAGACATGAGAACCGCCAAACATGGCTGTACCGCATCCTCCCTTCTGCCTCACACTCAACGTATAAACGCTTCAGTGACCCCTCATCCCCAATTCTCAAAGCAAAATTGAACTATGAGCCCCAGCAACTACGCTGGGACCCCTTCGACATTGATGAAAACGTCGATTGGGTTCGTGGACTAAAGCTCGTCTCCGGCGCAGGCGATCCCACTGTTAAATCCGGCCTTGGAATCTACGTTTTCGCTGCAGGCAGGGACATGGACGCCAACACAGCGATGTACTCTTCTGACGGTGAGATGCTCATCGTTGCGCAGCATGGAGTTTTGGATATTCAAACTGAACTGGGACGACTTCTCGTGAGACCGAATGAGATTGCTATTATTCCTAGGGGAGTGAGATATAGGATCACGCTGCCTGAGGGACCGGTAAGAGGGTATATTCTTGAGTTGTATCAGGGACACTTTCAACTACCGGAGCTGGGACCTATTGGATCAAATTGTCTGGCGAACCCGAGAGACTTTCAGATCCCTGTCGCGGATTTTGATGAGGATACGAAGAGTACTTGGACGATTTTGAATAAGTTCAACAATGAGCTTTTCGTTGCTGAGCAGGGACATACCCCGTTCGACGTGGTGGCATGGCATGGAAAGTGAGTATCTCTCCCCTGAATTGACTTTTCAAAGCTAACCTTGCCAGATGTGAGTTACAGATATACGTTGGCTCATTGAGAGCATCTGATGACAGCAACAGTCTATCCGTATAAATACGACCTAGGCCGCTTCTCCGTAATCGGCAGCACATCCTTCGACCACCCCGACCCCTCCATCTTCACCGTCCTAACCGGCCCCTCCGACCATCCCGGCACCGCCATCGCTGACTTTGTAATCTTCCCTCCGCGCTGGCTCGTGCAAGAAGACACATTCCGCCCACCGTGGTATCACCGCAACACCATGTCTGAGTTCATGGGATTAATCTGTGGACAGTACGATGCCAAGACCGGCGGTGGTTTTCAACCAGCGGGCGCTAGTCTGCACAATATCATGACTGCGCATGGACCAGATGCTGATTCTTACGAGAGGGCGAGTAATGCGGAGTTGAAGCCTGTCAAGGTTGGAGAGGGGAGCATGGCGTTTATGTTTGAGAGCAGTTTGATGTTGGGGATTACGGATTGGGGGTTGGAGACTTGTAAGAAGGTGCAACCTGACTATAATAAGCATAGTTGGGAGGAGTTGAAGGTTCACTTTAAAAGGCCATCTTAGATAGGGTTGATGAATGTAATGTTGATGACTTGTCGTACTGTTAGTCTGAAAGTCTTGTCTGTATATCTGTGCTATGGGGGTATGTAGATTGTGATAGTTATCTATGTATGGAGTGCATCTGGTATATTGTATTACCAAGATTAATATATATTTGCATTACAGTGTTTAGTCATGTAGATAAATGTATACAGCCGTCGGACAGAGAGACCTGAAGACCTAATAAGAGATCGGCCTAACCAAATAGCTATACTACCCCGGGGTGACTTTCGCCTTATCATAGCATCTTGTCATCGGAGGTAAATCTAGTATGGCTCAAAGCCGATCCTGTCCCCCAGATTCAGTTTGCGGGGAAAGGTGATAAGGACATGGGAAAGCTCAAGGTTAGATACCAGCCGTAATGCCCTTGGACCAAATCTCCTGATTATTCTCTCAGATGCGTCGCCGTGTACGGCAGATTACCGCAAAACTAAAGTCAGTGCCTCCTTACCGGTATCTGGATCGCCAATGACCTGTCACACCTCTCGCTTTGTCTCCGGGAGCCTTGTTCTTGCTATGGGATCTCCTTGCTTTTACTCTTTGGCATTCTTGTTGCCTGTGAGATCACTACCACTGCCTTGGTCATGAAATAAAGCACCGAGCTGTAGTTAATATTAAACTGTCTCACTACAGTATACTTTAATCTGCAATACTTACAATAATTCTATAGTTTATGATCTGCATTTAAGCTTATTTAGAATTATGGGAATCATAAACTAATTTTGTCGTCAAAAGCCACGATTCCATTGATACGTCTTCTCGTACTGAGTGATGCTGTTTTTAATTCTTTCCTTCTGACCTGTCTTTGTGTGATCACTTCTCAGACAACGATTTTTAAATATTGAACCAAACACTATAAGTTCTGTTTATGATAAAGTAACTCAAAAGTCAATATCTGTTTTCTCAAGCTGCCAGACTCAGGTTGGTGGGAGAATCTACAGGGTATGTCTACTCTGGAAGTGGTTTCAAAAAATACTCCGAAATGCAAAATCACTCAGATCAATTTGGGATCATTTCTCAAACTTTAATTGAAGTCCTCGAAACTCAAGTACTTTATTCGACTCAGTCTCAACCATAGTGGATAAAACTTTGCTCTGCCGTCCCATTTAATACTGGGTAATGGCACGGTCTCATGCGTTATTTGCGACGGGCGCTAACACGGCTCGGCAGAAGATCATCAGTGGTGACTGTTGAGAGACAAAAACCTTGAATACGAGCAGCCACAACGTCAGTTGTAGA